GCCTCTGTGGGAGGGAACGAGGAGGAGTGAGGAGCGGCGCGCTGCCGCCCCTCGACGCAAGGAATGCAGGGCGGCGCAGGCGAGGGAGGAAGGGCAGGCAGAGACCTGGGAAGACCAGAGACCAGGAAGCGAGAGTGCATGCTACGAAGGCGAGGCAGGGAGGGGTGACCAAGGCGGTGGTGCCACAGGAGGGTCTGGGGTGGTTGTGCGACAGGCGGCGACACTCACACTGGGTAGCTACCTGAGCAGACGCGTACAGCTGTGGAGACAAAGGGGTGTAGCGTGAAACAGTGGTGAGGGTGTACAGACTGGACCCCGGCTCACGAGTGAACGTGGCCAGGTGGCGGCCAGTCCGAGAGCAAGTGCAGATCGCCACACGCTGCCCTCCAGGAGTCCAGGTGTCAACCCAATGATCCTGAAGGACTGCGTTGCTCACCAGGTTCGTAGAGAACGAGGGAACGTGGAGACCTGACAGCTCACCAGACGGGACCGCCGGGCACGGAAGCACAGTCGAGGCTCGTGCCAGCACTGGGCCCGTAGAGGGGTCGGCCAGTGAGACAGGGACAGGTGCAGGGAGGGGGGTGACGGTGGTACTGTCGCGAAAGAAACAGCGAGAAGCACCAGAGTCAAGTGTAAACGTGTGCAAGGCCTGAGCTGACGCAGTACCAGAGAGGGCAGACTCACTAGCACCTAGGGCTGCAGTCTCTATACCTGGGTCAGGCGGGACACACAAGTAGCAGTCACCCTCAGCACTAACAGTCAATGCATACATGGCAGCAAGGATTGCATCATAATCAAGATCATAGACAGGTACATCACGCCTAAGCAGGTCTGCCCAGTTGGGGAACTCAGTGGCATCAGGAAACTTGGCGCGCCAGGCGTCGCTGAGCCGAGCAAAGCAGCGGTACTCAGTGTGAAAGCCGTTGCATGTGCGACCCTTGCGGGGACCAGTGAGAATGACATAGGGGCAGCGACCAGGACCCCCAGACGCCCCACGCTCGGCATACCAGTCATGGAGCTGCTGAGAAGAGGGGGTCTGGCGCTGCTGCTGCTGCTGCTGCTGCTGGCCCCCACTGGAGCTCCCCTTCTGGCCGGTCCCACTCCCGCCCCCACCTCCACCGCCACCACCACTGCCTCCTCCCCCACTACCGCCGCTACCACCTGCACCACTCCCGGTCCCACCGCCACCCCACCCACCTCCTCCACCCCCACGACCACCCCCACCACCTCCACCACCCCCGCCGCCTCCACCACCGCTCCCTCCACCGCCACCTCCACCACCCCTGCCACCCTTGCCGCCCCTGCCACCGCCGCGCTTCCCACTAGGAGCGGAAGCCGCTGCGACCTTCTCAGCACCGAGGAGGTCGACAGCAGCTGCTGAGGCATAGGAGGGGGCAAGAGGGGAGGGGGAGCACCCCTCAAAGAGGGGAGTGCGAGGAGTGCCACGGGCAGCACCTACAGCTAGGATGTTCTTCTCTGCTGCGAGGGGCTGTTGCTTGAAGTCGGCTAGAGTGATAGTGGTAGGGTCCTTGGCGAGGAAATGGTCCCTGACCGAGCTAAGAGTGTCAGGGAGGCGGGTGACGAGGATGTAGAGGGTAAAGTACAACGGGGGGGTGTTCGTGGCGAGGAACTCGTTGGTAAGAGCGGCTCGAAAGCGGGCGTCACTAGCGCGGAGGTGAGAGATGAGGTCCTCAGCGGTGGTAAACGAGGACAGGTCGGGGAACAGGTAGGGTAGGATGAGGCGTCCTACGGCTGCAGTGGCCGGGAAGGAGTAGCACACAACTACAGCGTCATACAGCGCCTTAGCAGTCTTGTGCTGACTAAAATGCGCGCGCTCAGTGATCGGCAGGTGGTTGCGGAGAGCAAGGCGCGCAACAGCATCGCGAGTCTTCCACTGTGAGCGGTCAAGAGCACGAGCACAGTCAGCAGGAGCAGTGGCAGTGCCAGAAGCGTGATCGAACAGTGAAACGCCGTCTTTGGCATCCGTCATAAGAAACAGCTGCAGGTCGTCAAGCCAAGTGGCAAACTCTATCGGGCGACCGTCAGGCTCAAACGCGAGAACATTCAGTGTCGCCATTATAGCAGCGCAGGCAACAGCAGCAGGCCAAGGCAGCAGGAAGGCAGGCAAGTGCACGTCAGGCAGGCAGGCGCAAGGCAGGCAGGCGCACTTCAGGCAGGCAGGCGCAACTCAGTTAGGCAGGCGTAAGGCAGGTAGGCGCACTTCAGGCAAGGCGCAAGACAGGGAGGCGCACTTCAGGCAGGGCGCAAGGCAGGCAGGCGCACTTCAGGCAAGGCGCAAGGCAGGCAGGCGCACAGGTAGGGCAGGGCGCAGCGGCGACGAACGGCGCACGGGTAGGGCACGCAGCTGCGGGCTGCGCGCGGCTGCGAGCTGCGCGCGGCTGCGGGCTGCGCGCGGCTGCGGGCTGCGCGCGGCTGAGGGCTGCGCGCGGCTGCGGGCTCGGCGCGGGCTGCGCGGGCGGTGCGCGGGGCAGCTGCGGGCCGCGCGCGGGCTGCGCGGGCTCAGGGCGGGCTGTACGGGCGACGAGCGGGGCGCGACGCGGCTGGCAGCAGCGGCGCGCGCTAAAAAAAAGGATACACATGCGCGCAGCCGAGGCGTGCGCGGGCAGCAGGCAAGGCAAACAGGCAGGCTAGGCAGGTAAGGCCGCAGGTGAGGTAACGCGGTAACGGGTGGGCCCAAACTTAGGTCCTAAAGACCTATTGCTCTAGATACCATCTCAGACTTAGGCATGAATGATGAAACTATCGAGTGAGTTTGGTACAAGATGTAAACCCTAAGGGGTTGTACCCCATATTATCTACCCCACTACAGCCTACCCACAAATATAACATATACATATGTTTGACATGTTTGTCTATTCCATCCTTCATTTTTTTCTACTCCTTCGTTTTTCTCTTCCTTTAATCTTCTATTCATCGTTTGTTCGTCCATTCCGATCATCCATAATCACATCTCTTTCATTCATTCCGTGTATTTTTGGTTTGTACAATGGCATCAAATTTCCCTATCTTTGTCCTTCTTCTATCATTTCTGCCCTGCTCCTTTCCCCTCCCACCTCTCCCTCCCTTTTTCCCCCCAGAGTCTTTGCTCTACCATTTGGAATGTCAAGGTTAATGTGGAAAGTAGAAAATTTCTTGTTTGTATGATTGATGATACTGTATTGTTATGTTAGATCTCTTTTTTATTGTGTTTGGATTTTTGTGTGAGCATATCGGTATGTGCGTCTGTGTGCATGTATCTCTGTGTGTGCACATTCATCCATTTGCATCTATCATTGCATTAACAATGCGCATCTGTGGATTTTAAAAAGATGGTCAAACTATCATTTCCGAGAAGGTTCTTTGCGCACTCAGTGAGTGTGTTCACTTGAACTGGATTTGATGGATCTTGATCATTTTTTTAGTTTACACAGATTGTGTTGTTTCATGTAACAGTTGGATGATTCAGGAACTATGCTATTGAGCTTCCCCCCATGCTAGGCAAGGGATGCGGTACCATAGGGTCTGGGTCAATTAAGTCTTGCGCATTTCCATCATGATATGCATTCATTTCACTACCACAGTAGCATATGCATTATATTTATGCATTTTGCATTCAATATTCAGTTCACCATATACTTCATCTACGCATAATAAATTCGGCATGCCGGTATGCGTTACAGAATAAACAGTCACGCGTTCACAGTAACATCATTTTGACAACCCATACAGTACCGTATACGGTAGGTTCAGTCAATGCAAACTAAGAAATGAGAATGAATGTGGTACGACACATGCTAAATAGTCGTGGCAAATATATAGCAGTTAGTCACTTACGGTAGCTACCGTTTACTAGATTTTCCTCATCCTTTATTTTTTGAAATGTAGAGAATGAAAAAAAAATGTACATATCGATTGTAATAGGTTGCTTCGCAACCCAAAAAAAAAAAAAAAACAAATGTTACCAACTGACAAGCATCCTTCACGAATTAGGCTCCTAAAGTGGTCAGGCAACATCCATGGTGGTCTCATGGTCCACCGCAGGAGTGTGTGAATGGAAGCAGGGCGCACGTTTATTAGTGTTTATAGCATTACATTAAATGAGTGTTATTGCCAACTACAAGTAACTGTTAACGAGTGCAACTGTAAAGCGAGTACGTCCACAACGTTTTCACTGAAATTCGGCAGTGGCGCCAAACCAATTTAGCCGTTGATGGCCATCGGGGCGCATCTGTCGGGTATCGGCGGATTTCTCGGCCCCACCGGCAGTCTATGCGAGTGCGACCCTCTTGCTCACTTCCTCTCTCCCTGCGGGTTTGGCTCTGATGTGTCCTGCGACCATGAGCGAGGCTGCGTCGCACGATCGCATCCCCCTTGATCATCCTGTCGCTAAAACAGCTCAACAATCGCACACCACCTCATTCACCTCGTTTTCTTCAGCGGATGCCAAGAGTGTGGTTGCCGCTAGCTTTCGCGCACGTACCAATAGCCGTTCTCCACTCAAGCAACCCCCATTTTGCTTACTAATTTCTGGTGAGCCTTGGACCTTACCAAGTTGTTGCTGCGATTGCACGAAGTAATCTCAAACTAGTTCAGTCATCGGCGATCCATGCCTTCATCCTATCGTCTAGTCTTCCGCGATCCTTGCGTTCATCCTAGATTTTAATCGTCGGCGATTCTTGCGTTCATCCAGTCGCTCTTGGGAATGGCGTCGGTAGACGGGTTTCAGCCTCCTTCGGACGATGATTACGACGCGCTGTACCAGATATTCAACCAGTATTGCTGGTGCGTGTTCCACCTGATCATGCCTTTCGTAACAGACAACGACGCGGTTCATGAAGTATTTTAGGGTAGTTTGCTCGACAATTTGCCCAGCTTAGCTTCGTTTTTATCCGCACTGTCACCAGATTTTGCGTTTCCATCTGCCAAAATCGTCCCTTTCTTGGAATGGATTCCATCCGAGCGTGTGTGGCAGCCTCGGCACGGCACGCGAGGTGGACGAGATGGACAACATCAAGTTCGTGCGATTCTGTCGCGACCTGGGAATCATCGCGCATGCGGGGGGCGGCGCGGGGCTGCACGTCACGGACGTCGACCTGCTCTTCGTCGCCATCAAGCCGCGCGTGAGCCCCGCGACGCCTTTTGTTGGACGCTTAGTCGTTTAGCCGCGATCCAGACCCCAGCCGTTAAGACGTGTTTGCAACCCTGAACATTGACGTTTTCTAGGGATTTAGCCGCGACCTTGTGTTCGGAATTGTACCCTTGAACCTGTTAGAAGTGTAGCCTCGAAGCTCGTGGTCTAACTCTCGCCGCAAGTGCCTTTCTGTAGTTCGTCTTTTTCGTGTTGCGTTGTCGTGCGCGACGAGGTGTGAGCGACGAGATGTGAGCGACGAGGTGTGAGCGACGAGGTGTGAGCGATGAGGTGTGAGCGATGAGGTGCGATCGACGAGCTGTGAGTGCCGAGGTGCGAGCGACACTGTGTCGGTGTTCTCCTTGCCGCGCGTGTGCGTGCAGGGCCGCAAGAAGCTGACGTTCGACAACTTCTGCGACGCCGTCGCCGTCATGGCCGACAAGCTCGGCGTCACCTCCACCGACCTCATCCGCCAGGTGTGACCTCATCCGCCAGGTGCGACCTCGTCCGCCAGGTACGACCTCATCCGCCAGGTGCGACCTCATCCGCCAGGTGCGACCTCATCCGCCAGGTGCGACCTCATCCGCCAGGTACGACCTCATCCGCCAGGTGCGACCTCATCCGCCAGGTGCGACCTCATCCGCCAGGTGCGACCTCATCCGCCAGGTACGACCTGGGATACGGCAGGTGCGACTTTGGGTTGGGGAGGTGGGGATGGCACAGCAGTTCCGCTTCCGCAGTGACGAGCAATCTCCCTCCTGTCGCCGTGTCTCACGTTCAATCCGTCTCTTCGTGTCCACGTGTCATTGTCATTGCGTGCCACGTGCAGGCCATCGCCATGGACCTGCCGCAACCCGCGCTGACGTCCGCGACGCGCCACTCCATGACGCTCTCCCACCACGTCTCCTCGTCGCTCCTCTCGTCGCACCACACCCTCTCCTCCGCGCACTCGCGCCGCCTCTCCCTCCCTCACCCCGCTGCCGGGCACGCTGATTCCGCGCACGCTGCCTCCGCGCACGCTGGGTACACCCACGCGGCGTCCGCGCACTCTGCGTACACCCACGCGTCCGCGCACGCTGGGCCCGCCTCCCCCGCCGCCCTCGCGCCCCTCTCCGCCCACACGTCCTACTCGCTTAGGGAGGGTCGAGGCGGACGACCCGCTGCTGGTGGCGCTAGTGGTTCCGCTGGGGGGTTCGGGGGAGGGGGGGGTGGCGCGGGGGACATAGTGCCACCTGGCGACGATTTCCCCCCGAGGCTGAGGCTCATCCGCACGAGGTCGCTAGAGGCAGAGGAGCAATCTCGCGCTGCTGCTGGCGGGTTCGGGGCGTCTCATGCCACAGGCGCGCGGGCGGCAGGAGGACACGTGGCGGAAGGAGAGGCGTGCCGCCCAGAGCCACTGAGCGAGCTGAGGTCATCACTGTCGGATCACAACTCGCATGAAGGCAGGGCGATGGGCGGGGCGGAGAAGGGCGGGAGGGGCACGGAGGGAGGGCAACAGGCGGGGAGGGGTGCAGGCGAGCGGAATGAGAACGCGCAGGGCGGGGAGCCTTTTGCGCAGAGGCAGTCAGTGGCGGGGGGACGGGATTGGGAGGCGGTGGAGCGGCGCCATGGGGGGGAGGAGGTGGCTGCGAGAGAGGGTTATGCGCAGGGGTTGGCCGATGGTGATAATGATGGTGGTTACAGCATTGGCGTGGGCTGGACGGATGGCGCCATGGGGCGAACGTTGGTGTCCGCTGTTGCAGGGGCAGCTGAGGAGCTGAGGCAGGGCCGCAGGGGGCAGGCAGGAGGGCGAGTGGGAGGGGCGGCAGAGAGCGGAGCAGGCAGAGGCGCGCTGCACCATGATGGTGAGTGCCTGTGGTGGTGCATGGGGTGGTGCCTGGGGTGGTGGTGTATGGGGTGGTGGTGTATTGGGTGGTGTATGGGGTGGTGCATGGGGTGGTGTGAGTAAATTGCGAGCATGAGAGCGAGCGTGAGAGCTAAGGGGGGAATGAGGCGTGGGAGAGGGGCCAGGGTGGGAATGAGCGTCCTGTGTGTTGGTGGCTGCGGGGTGCTCTGGGTGGGCGGGTGGGACATCGTGTGCCTGCAGGCGTGCATCCAATGACTTCTTTCCCGCTTCGTCCGCTGCTGACATTGCGCCATGCAGACGAGGAGGGCAGCAGCGCGGATCGGCGGCTGACAAATGAGGACCCGGCAGCAGCAGCAGCGGAGGGCGCGGTGGCGAGTCTCATGTTCTTCGATGCCTTCCGCTTCTTCTCCCTCCCCCACTTCGCCCGCCACCACTTTGTTCCCCTGGTAACTCTCCCCCGCCTTTGCCTCAGTGGCTCCCATTCCTTGCTCTCCACCACTTCGTGCATCAGTGACTCATCCCATGTACCCATTTCTGCTTTGCACGTGGCATGTCAGGCATGAGTCTCGTACCCGTGCAGTTCCTGTATGCATTCAGCTCTTGTCACTGGCACTGCTTGGTCTTGTTCCTGTGCCATTGTCGTTATGCATGCCGAAGTAGGTAATTTACTGATCCCTGTATGCCCAAACATCGTGCATGCGCCCATGTCATGGGTGAGCAGGCGCAGTGTGGCAGGCATCAGCTGCAGGGCCTGCCGCCACCGCGCATGGACAGCATTCGCTTCATCAAGATGTGCAAGGAGACCGCCATCCTCGATGCCCGCTTCACTACCACCGTACGTCCTTCCCTCCCCCTCCTGCTCCTCCCTGACTGCCTGCTGTGTGCCGCCCCCCCTGTGACGTCAATAGTGGGGGGAATACGCCATATTCTATGCACACTTTGCCACCCTTGTCACTTGCCATACTTCTGGACTCTAAGAAAGTGCTGCCTGGGGCTCAAATTCCTGGATGCATCGCTGCCTTGTTGATGTCTATCTCACCTGCCCGTATCCTTCATGGCTGGTCAGGCGTGAATGCATGGATGGAGCCCTTACTCGCCACATGCATTTCTGCCTCACCATCTTCTCCTTGTGTGCCTACCCACGCCCCTCCCACGCTCCTCCCACGCTCCTCCCACGTCCCTTCCACACCCCTCACACGCCCTTCGCACGCCTCTCCCACTCCCCTCGCGCGCCCCTCCCACGCCCCTCCACACCCCTCCCACGCCCTTCCCACGCCCCTCCCATGCTCCTCCCACGCGCCACCAGAGTGCGGACATCATATTCAGCAAGGTGACACGTGGCAGTGAGCGCAAGCTCTCAGTCTACACGCTGGCCACCGCACTGCGCCTCATCGAGGCAGAAAAGGGCCTCGCTCCGCCCGCTCTAGAGCGCATCATCATCGCCCACTTCCTCTCCCACGTCCCAGACGCCACCCTCCCGCCGCCCGGCGCCACCCCCTCCTCCTCCTCTCCCTCGTCCTCCCCTGTGGCCGCGTTTGACTGCAGCAGCCAGCAGCAGCAGCAGCGGCGGCAGCAGCAGCGGCAGCAGCAGCAGCTGGAGTGGATGCAGCAGAGCGCAGAGCGCCAGCACCCCCCTGCTGCCGGCTGCTGGGCTGCTGCACTCTCGCCTGCACCCACATCCGTGCCCTCGCCCTCACCTGCACGCTCCAGTGCATCTAGCCAGCGGTCAGGGCAGGGCATGTATGCCCGCCTGCTGCAGCTGCACCAGCAGGGGTTTGTGCACGAGGTTGGGCATGAGGTTGGGCCGGAGGTGGGGCGTGGTTATGGTGGGTATGAAGTGGTGGGAGGCGGTGAGGGACAGGGGCGGGTGTGTGGGCGGTGGCAGTCGCCCCAGTCCCAGCGGCGGCACTCGATGTGCGCGATGAATGCTTGCTATGAGCTGCCCCACCACCGCACGCATGGTGCAGGGGGCAGGGAGGAGAGGGAGGAGAGGAGGGAAAGGGAGGATGGTGGTGTAGGTTACAATGGGGCAGGGTGGGAGGGGGCAGTGGAGCAGCAGGGCAATGGGGCGGGGGCCATGGTCGGGGAGGTGGGGAGCGGCAGGAGAAACAGGCTGGTGGCAGGAGGCAGTCTGGCATGCCCCACCTTGTCCTACCACTGACTCGTGTGCTCACTTGCGCACATGCGCCAGCTCCACACCCTTCTGCTAAGTTACAGTAGCTCATGGCTTTTCCCAGTCATGATGGTTAGGTTTGCGGATAAATTAGTAACAAGAAGTATGTTGTAGGGTCCGGCACTGTACAGCTTAACTTAATATTTAGCCCTTAATACTAATTTGCAAGCACCTTTCTTCTAACTTGGCCGCCTGCAGTTACCATACCCACTTGTGCAAGCTACCGTATTGCTAGAGAAACAGCGATAGGAGTATGGCACATACCGAGTGCCATCAAGCATGGTACCGTACCATCATGCGTTCTGGAAAGCATGACATCAAGAACCAAGGCCCCATCCCCCTGTCAGTGTATAACACAACCTGTCAGCGCGGCACAGCCAGAGCCTGTCAGTTTGCACGCATGGCGGTGTACGGCACGACGCCGCCCACCATGTTGGGCTGGTCGTCCTAAGCAATTCCAGTATTGCCCGCCCTACTGCTGCTGCTGCGCCCTGCGTCCGTGATGCCGCTTGCATGGTCCACCCCTATCACTTATGTGATTAATGGCAGCGGCATGACTGCGAGCAGGGCCTCAGATTCGTTTTGGGCCACGCTTTCTCGTCAGTGTTGGTCTTTAGAAATAAACTTTCTATCAGGGTCCCTTGGAAAAAACCCTGGAAAATCAGTGTTATCAGCAGAAAAAACACTTTCTATTAATATTTGAAGAACTGCTACTGCACAGCCAGTGGCCCAGTCAGTAGATTCGTACCTAGAGAAGAACGAGATTTAGGGTTTGAATCATGTCGCGAGGTTCTAACATCGTGCAGCTGTCCTTCTGGTCCGCAGAAAATACTGGTGAGAAATTTGCCAGATTCTGTAAATCTAGGCAATTTCGCCAACATGTACAACCTCGCTACAGTGGGATTCGAATCACGGCCCCCTGGTAAATTTGGCTGAAATTTCAGGCGTAGGACAAGAAAGTTAGCTGAAAAATCAGTGTGGGAATGAAAATTTAAACTTTTCGATCAGCCTCAGGGCCTAGAAAAACTCGGAAAATCAGCGTTCAAACCCAAAATCAGGGTAAATTTCCTGAAATCTGAGGCCCTGACTGCGAGGATGTAGAAGAGGACGCTCGTAGCTCCCCTACACGACTGTTCCCGCCACAGTACCCCAACAGTAAACCATTACCACATCACAACACTCGCCTCGACCGCTGTTCCCGCCACTGTTCACATCGCGACCCACCCTCATGTCTCAAAAAAACCCAACCTCAGCGCCAAGCTCGTCGCGCACCCCATATTTCGCTCTTTACCGTTACCACGATAGTTCGCTACTTAACATTCGATCTTGCCTTCGTTCGATGTACTGTTTTACTTCGATGGTGCAATCTTCGCTTGCTCACTCATTTGCAATCATAACACTTGGTATTCAGAGTCACGACCCTTTTCGTACCGCGTCCACACCTTCACTTCCACATTTACCACATTTGGGGGGGGGGGGGGGGGGGGGAGGCCCCTCAGCGACCAGCAGTGCTGCTCGTGTGCTCTCTCGTAAGCACACGCGGCCACGACTGAGGCTACCACTGAGCCAGCCCGACACCCCCTGTCAAACATATGCATATGTTATATTTATGGGTAGGTTGTAGTGGGGTAGACAATGTGGGGTACAACCCCTTAGGGTTTGCTTCTTGTACCAAACTCACTCGATAGTTGAACCATTCATGTCTAGTTTCTAAGATGGTATCAGAGCAGTACGTCTTTAGGACCTAAGATTAGGGCCCATCGGTTACCGCGTTACCTCACCTACAGCCTTGCCTGCCTGCCCTTCCTCCCTCGCCTGCGCCGCCCTGCATTCCTTGCGTCGAGGGGCGGCAGCGCGCCGCTCCTCACTCCTCCTCGTTCCCTCCCACAGAGGCTCCACTGCAGACTCTCCACCTGGACGTGTGGGGCCCCGCCCGCGTCCAGGGGCAGGGCCGCGAGCGGTACTTTCTGCTGGTTGTCGACGACTACACGCGCTACACCACGGTCTTTCCCTTGCAGCGCAAGGGTCAGGTCCCTGATGTTCTGATCCCCTGGATCCGTGCTGTTCGTCTCCAGCTCCGCGAGCGGTTCCAGTCGGACTTTCCTGTCCTGCGTCTGCACTCTGACAGAGGTGGTGAGTTCTCCTCCGACCTCTTGGCAGCCTTCTGTGCGGAGCACGGCATCCGCCAGACGTTCACGCTTTCGGCCTCTCCGCAGCAGAATGGGGTTGCTGAGCGCCGCATTGGCTTAGTCATGGAGGTCGCTCGTACCTCCATGATCCATGCGGCTGCCCCCCATTTTCTGTGGCCGTTTGCGGTCCGGTACGCTGCGCATCAGCTCAACCTCTGGCCCCGTGTCTCCTTGCCGGAGACCTCGCCCACACTGCTGTGGACGGGGGAGGTTGGCGATGCGTCGCGTTTCCGGGTCTGGGGCTCTCGTGCCTTTGTCCGCGATACCACCGCGGACAAGCTCTCCGCTCGCGCCATTCCCTGTGTCTTCCTTGGTTTTCCCTCTGACGCGCCTGGCTGGCAGTTTTACGACCCCGCCTCGCGCCGTGTCTTTGCGTCTCAGGACGTCACCTTTGACGAGTCCGTTCCCTTCTACCGTCTCTTTCCCTACCGTACTTCCCCTCGCACCCCCCCGCCGCTCTTCCTCGCTCCAGGTCCTCCCCAGGTAGACCCCCTTCCCGCGCCAGGTCCTGCTCCTTCAGGTCCTTCTCAGGTAGACCCTCCTATGCCTGCGCCTGTTGAGGTCACTGGTGACTCTGGTCCTGCTGGGGGTGGTGTTGGTCCTGGGAGTGCGGGGTCTGGGGGTGCTGAGCTTGGAGGTGCGGAGCCTGGGGGTGCGGAGCTTGGGGGTGCTGAGCCTGGGGGTGCGGAGCCTGAGCGTGAGGAGCCTGGGGTTACTGAGACTGGAGGAGCGGAGCCTGAGTGTGAGGAGCCTAGGGGTGCTGAGTCTGGGGGTGAGACGCCTGAGGGTACTGCGAGTGCTGGTGCACGGTCTCCTTTGAGCAGCCGCCTTCGTCCGCGTGTGCCTCTCACCTCACAGCAGCTGCACGACTGGTACGGTCGCCGTCAGGGTCGCGCTGCTGGAGCTCGGAGTTCTGCCGCTGGAGGTGCTTCTGTTGACGTCCCTGGTCCCGGAGGTGCTCGTACTGGAGGTGCTGGAGCTGCTGGGGCTGGAGACGTTGTGCTTGTGGGTGCTGCTGCTGGTGGAGCTGGTCGTGGGGGAGCTGGCACAGGGGGTTCTGGAGCTGCTGGAGTTGCTGGAGCTGCTGGAGGTGCTGGAGCTGCTGGTACTGGTGGCACTGCCCAGTCGCGCCTGTTCTTCGCGCCGCCGTCTCCGTCGTCTCAGCCGCCCCCTGACTCTGTGCTTCGCCAGGTTCTTAGCCTACCGTCGTCTACTGGTCTTCCGTTACAGCCTGGCTCACCACTGCCTGCTCCTTCTCCTTACACTGAGCAGACTGGGGGTCTTGCTGAGCGTCGTGAGCCTGTGTCGCGTCCTGTCTCACCTGTCTCCTCTGGTCGTTCCGGTCGTCGTGTTCCTCGTCCGCGTCAGCCGGCTGTCCCCGGCACACACCTCGTAGTCCGTCGTCCTTCCTCTGCTCCGCAGTCTGTTCCTCTGCCGTCTCCCCCTGCGTCCTCTCTGCCTGACGTTTCGGACCCTGAGTCTGACCGGTTTCGTGCTGAGCACCCTACTGTCACGCGTCTGCTAGCCACTGTTGTCACTGACCCGTCGTTTGAATCTACTGCTGCGTCTGCCTTGGTCGCTGAGCTTGTTGACTTTGCTGCTGCCTGTTGTCTAGACTACGCTGCTAGCCTTGTTGCTGAGTCTGAGTCTCTCTGTCCTCCGTCCGTCGGGGGTGAGTGTGCTCTTGGCACGGATGTCCTTGAGGACAGGCAGGAGGACCTTGAGTGTCTTGCAGCCGCTGCGCCTCATCTCGTGGCCATGCTGCTTGCCTCTGAGGGAGACCCGGATGCTCTAGACATCCCGACCCCGCGCTCTTACGCTGAGGCGATCGCGGGTGAGTACTCCTCTCAGTGGCAGGCAGCCATGGACGCAGAGATGGCATCCTGGAAGTCCACAGGCACCTACGTCGATGAGGTTCCCCCTCTTGGGCTGAACATCATCGATGGTATGTGGATTTTTAGGGTGAAGCGGCCGCCGGGTTCTCCGCCTGTCTTCAAGGCTCGTTACGTTGATCGAGGCTTCAGTCAGCGAGAGGGAGTTGACTTCTTCCAGACCTTCTCCCCCACCCCGAAGATGACCACTCTTCGGGTTCTGCTGCACGTTGCCGCTCAACGTGACTACGAGCTTCACTCACTGGACTTCAGCACAACCTTCTTACAGGGCAGCCTGCACGAGGAGATCTGGCTGCACCGCCCACCTGGCTTCACTGGGTCGTTCCCGCCTGGTACCCAGTGGAGCCTCCGGCGGCCAGTCTACGGTCTCCGCCAGGCGCCTCGTGAGTGGCACGACACACTGAGGACTACACTTGCGGCTCTTGGGTTTGCTCCTTCCACTGCTGACCCGTCGCTGTTTCTGCGCACCGACACTTCGCTGCCGTCGTTCTACATCCTCGTGTACGTCGACGAATTGGTCTTTGCCACTGCTGACACTGAGGCTCTTGCCCTGGTGAAGTCAGAGCTGCAGAAGAGACACACGTGCACAGACCTGGGTGAGCTGCGCAGCTACCTTGGCTTGCAGATCACCCGGGACAGAGCACGCCGCACCATCACTCTGACTCAGTCAC